GAATACTTTTGCAAGCCACTGTATGTCTGGTGAGAAGACACCATAATACACCTCAGGATAGATGTGTTTTTGTCATCTCCCTGCTTTTCCAAGCTGCTGATGAACCAAATGTTTCCACTGTGCAGCTATTTAAAGAAATAGAAATGAGTCTACAGGGAATAGCATGGTTTTTCACTGTGACCTCCAAGGCACGGTTCAAGGAAAGAGGTCAAAGGGTTAAAAGTAAGAGCCAGCCTGCTGTATATGATATTAACATCTTGGACTGCAACAAAAGGAACCTATAATATAGATAGTTATGATAAAAGTGTATATAACAAAAACGGCTGTTTCTTGTGCAATCAACTGAATGCACAAATATAATTTATGATGATTAATTCAGCTGAATAAAATAAAAACGTTTCCTCGGAGAATCCAATCTTGTGTCAGCTGGACCCTCTGTTGGGTTCGTGGCACGTCTTTGATCCGATCGCTCCATAAAATGCAGCCCTCGCCTTCGTCCAGCAGTCTGGGAGATCTTTCCAGCATTCCTTCCTGTTTGTCGTCATGGTGCCAGCAGGACAGCTGGGCTGTATTTAAGGTCCTCCTCTTCTGAACTCTGACCAGAACGACAAAGACACCTTCTGCTACATCACACAGCCAGAGAGGAGGGAAGAATAAACCCTGAACCAAAGGACTCAAATCGGACCCTGAAGACAACTGAACGTTTTTTAGGCTGCAAATAGTTTTGATTCCATGCAGGAAGATGGTCAGTGTGGTGGATAGAGTGGTATTTGTTTTCTTCGTCACAGCACAGGTAGGAATCACAGTGGTAATGAAATATCCCTGTAGGACTTTAGGTTTTAACATAGAAAGTGTTTTATTATTTAATACCAGGTAGTTAAATCATTTTAAATAGTTTTGTATATATTTGATGTATATTTTTATATTTTTGTTTTACTCGCAATCAGTTTAAAAATGGAGATTTACTAACTTGTGAAATACATTTTTTGTTTTTTCCTTAGGTTTTTACACTAGTCTGGTGCCAGGTGTGTCCACGTCGATGCCAGTGCCCTAAAGAGCCTCCCATGTGTCCCCCTGGGGTGCCTCTGGTTCTGGATGATTGCATCTGCTGCCTGGTGTGCGCCCGTCAAAAAGGGCAGGCGTGCTCTGACATGAACCCCTGTGACACACGTAAAGGGCTCCAATGTGACTACTCAGCTGACATCCACAAGAGGACTGGTATTTGTACAGGTGAATGGGATGATCTTAGGGCTACTACAAAGATTTTTCAAAATCATCGCTTAACCCTTCATAGTTTTGTCCTCTCTTGTTGTTGTGCCTTCTTCCTCCAGCTCCCAAGGTAGCTGTGTGTGTTATAGACGGCTCTGTCTACCAGAACGGTCAGACCTTTTTCCCCAGCTGTAAGTACCAGTGCATATGCCGCGACGGGCAGGTAGCATGTGTGTCACGCTGCAACGTGGATGTTATGCTGCCTGGACCAGACTGCCCCATGCCACGCAGGATCCAGGTGCCTGGAGAGTGCTGCGAGAAGTGGGTGTGTGAGCCCCAGGCTGGGGCCAGTGCACTGGGCAGCTTTGCCATGGCAGGTGAGAAGATTGCAAGTAGGATGAAATGAGATGGGCTGTTTATACTGAGGTGTACATAAGCTGCACATTGTTTTTTGAAATTGGAGTCACTCCTCTGTGAGACACAGTGCTAAAAGGTTTTGCATATTTCTTTGACATTTTTAGAGTTAAGGTAGTAAGAACCAGGAGAAGGAGCAAAAGAAGAAATTAGAGTAAGATTTGAGGACGAGGAAGCACAGAACAAAGAGACAGTGTTGCAACATGAGTCTGGAATGTGCAACCTGAGCATGGTCTCTTAAACACGCCAAGGCACATGGTGATCACTGGCTTTTCCAGAATATGCCTTGAAGCTTTTACTTTTAGATTTCTGTCTAAACTGCCTTTCTGTGTTTCATTCAGCCTACCGTCAGGAGGAAACTGTGAGTTTTGACGCTTGGGACCGGAGCCTGAACTGCATTGAGCAGACTACAGAGTGGGGAGCGTGCTCTCAAACGTGCGGCATGGGGGTGTCCACCAGGGTCACAAATAAGAACAGCCGGTGTGAGATGGTGAAGCAGAGTCGGCTGTGTATGATTAGACCCTGCGATGAGCAGCAGGTCCAGCTGACACAGCTTGCACAAAAGGTACAATCTGAGTAGAGGTTTCTTCCTTTTCTTTAGCTTGCGTAACTTGACTGCATGAGCTAATTTCACAACGACAAAGCACAAGAATGGAGTTATTTTCCAGAGCGATGTAGCGCACATTAACTGAGTTGTCGTATCTACCGCTCCCTGCAGAGAGGCAGTAGGTGCCAGAAGATGGTGAGGAGCAGCAAAGCCATTCACCTCTCCTATAAGAACTGCACCAGCGTCCAAGCCTACAAACCTCGGTTCTGTGGCTCCTGCACAGACGGACGCTGCTGCACCCCTCACAGAACCAAAACCGCGCTGGTGGAGTTCCAGTGTGCTAATGGGAAAACTACACGGAGGCCCGTCATGGTGATCACGACGTGCGCCTGCCACCGCCACTGCCCTCGAGACAATGCTGCGTGGCCGCCCTCAGAGCTGGGTTACACTGGCATGCGAATATAGATCAGGGAGTACCCAAAAGTTTATTAGTGAGATCACAATTATCACCAGAGTGTGGCTGATGACTCTGTTTTAAAACCATCTATATCTTTAGTATAAATGAAGAACTATACACACTATATTCAATAGAGCCATAATTTGGGACATGTACACATCTGACATCTGCCCATTGTGGTACATGTATTCATGTATTCATTTTTTGATTCCCCTGGTGAGGAATTGTTTCACATCCTGTGGAAGATAAAAAATCGTTACTTTTATTAAGTACGATGAAAGCACTTAAACCTTATGACTGGAATGGATTCCATCTGATGCCTCTTCACTTTTGGAGATCAGATACAGCATACTGCAATCCTTCCATAATAGATTTGGACAGATGAGTGTAGGCTGTAAAGAGTCTTTTAAACACCCTCTATTAAAGAGGTAGAGTAGTATGATGATATACAAGCACAGGGTTGTGTCATGACTGTACGAAGCCTTTCTCCAACATAGTGTTTATTGCTAATAAACGCAAGAATACCCTGTATCAGAATAAATGTTACTGTACAGCTTGACACTTGGATTAAAATTCACATTGATAAACAGACAGAAAAGAGGAGAGTGAGAGCAAAGGTTACAACCAGAGGCGATCAGTGACCTTTTCTCCCACCGTGAAAACACGTTTTTGAAATAGCTGAACTGTTTACTTTGGACATGGTTGCAAACAAAAGCTCAACCGGTGAAAGAGAGTTCACTGTGGTGTCTAAGTGCCATTTCTAACATTGTCTTGAAATCTTGCCTCTGTTTTAAATGTACGCTTTTTATTTCTAGTGGACTTGTTTCTGTAGTTTTATTTAAAGTAGTGCACGTAACAGCTATTTTGATCATGACAAAAGTTTTGTAAATACTTGCTGTGTAGCCTGTTTGACCGAGTGTGTATTGAATACACAGTTAACTGGTAATATTAAACACAAATTGTATATATTTTTTCTGCTTGATCCTTTTCAGCTTCTTTTTGTACGTTTCTGAACAAAAATTGCAATACTCAGCATTTGAAATAAAGGTGTATTTTTTTGTATGAAAGCTTTGTTCTTTTTATTGCCATGCAATGATAAAATCTGCATTTGGAATCATTCTTACTTTTGGGATGAAGGTAGGATAAAATATCATTTTCAATTGGTTTGAGCAAAATGTGAAACACGAGAAAGTTTTAATATAAAACTTGCAGCTTGCAAATAAAGCTTGCAGGACACAACGTGCTACTGATGCTGCTGAACGCGTGGTAGATCTTTGTCCCACATCTGCTGTACTTGATGTCTACGGGAATTTGTTACGTGACTATGTCAGACTCTGGATTTGCAAACTATTACGTGACTGACAATGGCTGCTCTACATTAAGAAGAAGTTAGAAGAAGAAGAAGTTAGAATTTGGTAATATAGTTTGAGAAACCACAGATTTAAATGACAAAAATAGGTTTTTTTCCCCCAGAAATAAATTGACATTTTATTTTTGCAGGCACATGTTTTGGGAAATGCCTCTTCCAAAGGATTCCCTTTTGAAACGTTAAGATGTCTGTGTTGGGACCTGGGAATTACCAAACCCTGTGAACTCTGCTGACAGTGGGAGGTGGCTCTTTGACCTCTCTCCATGAACCCAACCTGGGCGGTCATAATGGAAAAGCCTAATATTCCCTGTGGGACTCCCACAGTTTCCTAAAATACCTCCTCAGTGGAAACTTTAGTTCATAGCTCAAATCAGGGGGGGCTGACAGTGTGGTCGGTGCTTCTGATTGCATTATTTTTGCTGTCCAGAGGTGTGTGGAGATGTGTGGTTTTAACATGTGGCTATAGGATTTTAAGCTTGTTATGTTGTAGTCAGTTGTATTTACTCTAAAAAAAATTTTTATTGATACGAATACAAATTTTTTGAGGGATTTGCATAGAAAAAGTAAGTGAATGGATTCCATCTTATGCGAAATAGACCAGAAAACCAGTAACATGTAAACAACAATACAGTAACAACTTGAAAAACATGCAGAATACAATTTAGAATCTTAGGTCAATACAGTATCACTGACATAAAGAAACCTTTTATGTATCAACACTGTATCAGTTATTATTATTTCAGCTTGTATAATGTTCTTAGTTCAGCATCTGGCATGATACTGACATTAACACTATAACTGGGGCTATTGGGAATGTCAGCAGGACTGACCATGAGGCTGCCTTGCAAATAGAAATTTTGAGCTGATAATGCTAAATGAAAAGTTATTTTTCATTATGGTTATCTTAGAAATTTCTCACCAGTTAATTATGTGGCAGAGCTGCTAAACATAAAATCTTGAACATTAATTTCTGAGCAGCGAACAAATTGCTTTTACCTTAAGTCTCCAAGGAGCTTAAATTTTTCTTAAAAATTGGAAATAAAACCCAATGTGGTGGTTTAGCTACATTAAGTACTGTTTAGTTGTGCTGTATACAGTATTTCATCTGACTTTAGTGATTTGTGAACGTATGAGGGGGTATTAGAAAGCGTGAGCATATTGCTCCCCCAAGTGGTGTTACCATGCTCTTGAAAACCTAATGTGAATCATTTTTCATGTCGTGCAATAATAATAATAATAATAATAATAATAATAATAATAAACTCAAAAATGATAATATTACAGCTGTAAAAGCATTTATTGTGATTGTCTAACATTTTCTATATAAAGTTCCATCATATTGTTGCACATGGTTAAGTGGCAGATTCCTTCATCACTACGCAGCTGGAAGCACACTGACCACAGCTTGTTAGTCTTCCAGCTCATACAGGAAAAGATATCCATCTCTGTCTCTCTGTGAAGAGTAACGATGAAAAAAAATATATAATGCTTTAAGAAATACTCTTGAAAAACTTTTTTAGTAGGAAGTTTAAAAAGTAGTAAATTAAAAAGCAAAGGTCAACATCATTGTTGCCAAGCATCCAGCACTGAAATGAAATCACATCAATGGTAGGATTAGATTAGTCCTCTCGTTCATTCAATGACGTCCAATATGAAATCAGAAACACGAATATAAAAGCAAATATCCAGTATAAGCGATTTGATTCTGGATCTTGAAAAATTTCTCGGAACTTCCATTGCAGCCTCTGTACACAGCTGAGTTCCTCAAAAGGACGAAAGAACAGGAAAATCCTCTCGCTGAAGTTGCAGCCAGTAACAGAGTACACTATCATTGCATTGTCTGGATCATAGAAGAACAAGCATCCCTGCTCATAATCTACAAACACCATGACTCTTTCAGGCCTTCTTCTTAAAACAGGCATTTGCAGGCATTGTTGACATCTGCAGTAGTTACCTCCTGACCTTACAATCCAATTTCCACTCCTGGGGTTTGGTCTGAATTTCTTTTGTCTTTGCATCGACTCCGGGACAACTCCTAAAACCCAGCCGGTCTGCCCTCCAACATGAACCTCGTAGTAAAATCTCCCTTCAGACAAGCCCTTATTTTCAGAGATGTAGGAATAGCCACCCATATGCCGTGGCTCCTCAGTGAGAAAAGAAAAAGGAGGAGGACCTACTATCTGATTAGGCACTTTTTCTTTTGCTTTACCTTTGCTTTTCTTCTTCCTCTGTGTTTTCAGTTTTATCCTCTGATAATTCTGTGCTTGTTCCTGTTTAATTTCTGGCTCTTCTAATTTTTCCTTCCCCATCTGAGCTCTTTTATCTACATATTCTTCCTCCAAAGGGACAGTATCGTGAGCGCTGTGCTCCGTACACAGGGTACAAACACGAGTCTGCTCTGTCCTGCAGAAGAACTCTAAAATTTTGTTGTGTTTTGTGCATATTTTGTCCTCCAGGTCATGCACAGGATTAGTCAGTCTGTGTCTTTTTAAGGCAGCGACTCTCTTATGAGGCTCTAAATGTGTCTCGCAGAAAGAAGCCAAACAGACTAAACAGGTTTTAGAGGCTCTGAACTTATTGCCAGAGCAATAATCACATGGCACCTGTCCAGGTGTGAGCGGAGAATTATTCTCAGCTGTTACAGGGAGCGTCTTAAAATTCTCCACAACCTCCCTGAATCCGGTGTTGACACGAAGTTTGAGCCCTTTGTTGAACTTCTCGTTGCACAGTGGACACTGACATTGCTCTTTGTCTTTCCAGTGTTTGGTGAGACAGGCTTTGCAGAAGTTGTGTCCACATGGAATAGAAACAGGCTCAGTGAAGACATCCAGGCAGATGGAGCACTGGAGCTGATCTTCTGTCAGAAAACTGCTGGCTGCGGCCATTCCTGGAGCATGAGTTTGAAATCTATTGAGTATCAATAATAATACCTATTATTAATTCATAGAATTACTAATATGAGCCATTACACACCAGAAAAATAACAAAACAAGGCTAAAAACATGATCATAGAGTGACCCCGATGCTGCTGTCAACTAAACTTCCACGTAAAAGTCTAATCAACAAGTTTTAATCATTCACTTTACTTTGAATAAACATAATTAAATGGATGTTATTAAAGGACTTGATCCTTACCTTCCTGGACACAAATTCTTATTTGTTCTGCTGCCTCTTTAAAACAAACTATGCTGCCTTTAAAAGTTTGACTTTCGACTGCGCTGCAATGCTCACTTTCATTTCCTTATAAACGATTAAAATGTGCTCCTCCTCCCCTGACTCACACTCACAGGGAACAAGTCCAGGTTTAACTGGTGAAGTATTGTTGGCATCCACATGGCATGAAAAAGTATGCATGTAAAAATGTACTATAAAAACAACAAACTATAAGCAGAATTCAAAGTATTAAAATACTCATCCTAGTTTTCTACATAAACCAGGGGAGCTGAGCCCCGCCTTGTATGCAGACCTGTTTCCTGTCTTTGTACACAAACTGTTCTGTTTGCTTTCATTTCCTTGTAAATGATACAAAAATAGCTCCATGCTCTGCTGAGTAACACTCCCTTTGACTTGTTTATTTATGACCCTCACCTCTTAACAGCCCCGAAAAGCAAATAATGACATTAAATGACTGAGAGCATGAGTTATATAAGCACTACTGTCTTTAATTCTCTCTTACTGCAATCACTAAATTAACTTATTTACAAAAGCCACGAGAAGCGACTTTGAGTGTCTTAATCTTGAAAAACTCTCTTCTTGTAGCAAGCAAGTGGTTACTTGTACAACCTCTGTTCTTAAAGGGTTAACTTCCACAGCTATGTTTGTGTGTTTCGCTCACAGGAATGAACTATTGTGCAACATTCCTTCCTTTGCCTGGACATTTGACTGAAGTTCTTGTTTCTAATTGTGGTTGCCTGAGTTTTAAAACCACCCAGAAACAGATAGTGCAAAGTTGTACTTGGTCAACAAGTTATATGATAATGTTTTATTTTCTTCTATAAAACCAAAGCTAAGCACTTTACACACTTTTAGTGCTACCAGCATGACTATAATCCGTTTTGTTTTATTTTTTTCATTTCAGTATCAGATTCCATTTGGCACCAGCATGTCACACTGACAGCTGGCTTCTCATATATTTGTATAGCTTTGTGCCAGTCAGTTGTCCAGCTGCCATTAACTTAATCTCCCAGCCCCTTTTTCACCATCATGCCACCCCTTTATCCATATGCACAAATCTCAATTGCAAGCTAACCAGTAAATATGTCTGGTCTTTCTAATCTCCATCCAGCGTCTGCTACATGTAGACAAGAACTGCTTTCCATTTGGGTGGAGTAGATCCAGCATCCTTGTGGTGTGCACGCTGACTCACTTATATGGCTTACTGGAACACATATCTAATTTGTTTCAGCTGTGCTTTTCCTGTAATCAAAGTAAAAGAAAAAATATTTTTGCTGGGAAAATGTTTTGGAAGTTAGCAGAAATATGAGAGGATGAGAAGGCAGGAAACACAAAAGAAAAGGTGAAAGGATAGACGGGCTCAGTCATGTAAGCCATGAGGGCATGGAGTGGCAATGAAACTTTTATTGAAACTATGTACCTGTGGTTGCTAATATAACTGCTGAGAATAAGATATATTTACCAAGAGTGTCCTAAACTATCAGGAGTGCTTGTTTTCTTTGCCAAACCATGTGCAGGTAAAATTAAAATTAACCCTAAATAACAAATCATTTATTTTGCTTAAACCTTTTTTTTTTTAAATGCTGCTAAATTGCTGCTTATTTTTTGTTTCTGTCGGACTAATAAGGCTTTACATCAAGTTATTGTGTATCAACACATAAACACCACTGAACTGATACTACTAAATGGCCCCCAGATCAGGGGTGGATCTAGAGGAATTTTTTTTAGGGTGACATGGAAAACAAATGGGGTGGCAAAATCAAAGCCTTTAAAAAAACCAAAAACAAACCAAACAAAAACAAAAACACACATATGCAGGTGTTACATATGGTTAAAACGATTCAAATGCAGTAATTATACACATTTCATATAAATATGGTCTATAA